TGTATTACATGGCCATATGCTGAACTATGATATAGACATCACAGTGAATCAATCAGAGAACGCCATGAAGTCCCGATTCTTTGAAATGTTACCATTTATACTGAGAGACATATAAAAGCTAATAGAGCAAACATAATGATTGGAAACTTAAATAGAATTAGTCTTCGCATACGAGGCTGGGCCGAAAACTTTTCATACTAAGCATAATATTAAACGTTATATGCACTACATCGACTGAGACACCTCGAGGCGGTGTAATGGTTAACAAGCTTGTCTCGCTAGAATAATTACGACTGAGTAGTGAGTTCGATTCTCACTGTGTGGCCCGTACTTTCGGCCTTGTGCCACATCTAAGCTACGCTTGAAAAATCACTACATCGGCTGTATGATGGAGTAATGGATTGCAGTATGGATTGAGTAGAGTTCGATTTCTAGTCGAAGTCAAAAACAGCGCTCAAAATAACTGTAAAAGTGTTGAACTGCATTTTTATAGTGAAGGTTCCAGCAATACAATTTCATGGTAAAAAAATGACCAGCAATAGGTGTTTTGTAAAAGAAAAGAAAAATATTACCAGGAATACATTTTTTCTAAAGAAAAAAAATATTGCCAGAAATATATTTAAAAAAAAAATAGTAATTCTTTTAATTAAATGACCCATAAGGTGATATGCCTTTAAACAGACAAAGCGATTGTAGCGATGTTGTCGAACGACGAACGTCGGGGTCACCAATCTTGTGGCGACGGTGCTACCATTATTGTAATGGTGGTGTTACCAATATACTGAGAGACATATAAAAGCTAATAGAGCAAACATAATGATTGGAAACTTAAAAAGAATTAGTCTTCGCATACGAGGCTGGGCTGAAAAGTTCATAGGCTGGCTATGAAGGAGTGATGCTAGAGCTGTGAAATCTTGCAAGCATCAATTCCTACTCTTTGTATTAAGAACTTCATTGTTTCTTTCCAAGTTAACGAACATCTGACTGTTAAAAGAAGACTTCAAATGAACGAGGGTGAACTCTGAAATCTCGATAGGCTGACTCTGAAGTTGTGATGATAGAGCTGTTACATTTTGCATGCATCAATTTCAACTCTGTGTTACAACCTTTATTGTATCTTTAATATGCCGTACATAAAATATAACGTATATCTCTAACCTAAGGTAATTTATATCCTGTGGTATCTCCATAACCTGGCGTACATAAAATATATTATAATCTGTCGCAAGTCCTTAGCCTGTCGTAATGTTATAACCCGTGGTATATCCTTAACCTGTCGTAATTATAATGAGGTATGCCGTTAACCTGTCTTGCATAAAATATGTTACAACCTGTGATGTATCCTTAACCAGTCATGCATAAATTATAATGTTATAACCATTGGTATAGCCTTGACGTGCATTAATTATAATGTGGTATAGCGTTAACCTCTCAAGCATAAAATATGTTACAACCTGTGGTGTATCCTTAACCTGTGATGCATAAATTATAATGTTATAACCATTGGTATAGCCTTAACCTGTCGTGTATAAAATATAATGTTATAACATGTGATATATCGTTAAACTGTAGGGGAATTAAAGATAATGTTATAATTTATGGCGTTTCCTTAATCGGTTCTACGTAAAATATAATGTTACAACCTGTGGTATATCCTTAACTATTGTATACAAAATATAATGTTATCACTTGTCGTTCATTCATAACCTGTCATATATAAATGTAATGTCATACACCCACATTCTTATGTAGAATTCACGGCTTTGTATCAGTGATAAATTTTTATCTAAGTTCAAAATTGATTTTTTTTTTGTGTGTGTGTGTGTGTGGATATGAGGCTTAGTAAATTTTTGGTGGCAAACCGCATCAATATATGTGCTTCTGACGGCTCTTAATTTCCGCCATTTTTTTTTAATCCAACACTGCAAAGAGCTTACGTTTCATGCCGCCATCTTTGTTATTTTTTCTCACCTTGATTACTTGATTTTTTTTGTTTTTTTACAATTTTTTTTTTTTTTACTTTATCCTAAGTTCTAATCTGCAACGTTTTTTTTTTCTTTTTTATTCATTTATTTATTTATTTTTTTATTTTTATTTTTATTTTTATTTTTTTTTTGGTTTCTGCAATATTTTCATAGTTTCCGCTCTGTCGTCTGCATCATATTTACTCGAAAAACAGTTCGTTTATTTGTTGCTGTTTGTTTTGTTTTGTTTTTAATTTTATTTTATGTTTATTCATACTTTTGTTTACGAAATTTTCTGCGGGGTTACAATTTGTCTGTCACTGTTTTGGCTTTCGGTTACAGTTTAAATGCAATCAGTCAAGTGGAAAGAAATTAAAAAATAATATGGACGCTCTATTTTATTTATTTTACGTTTTTCCATCTATTTGCCCCGAATTTCGCGAGGAGAATTTTTTTTCTACAACTTATTAAAAAGACTGTGTCATCGCGTTTATTCCCCACATAATATTATACTATAAATAATTATAAATTATGCAGGTTAATCAAGAAGTTGGCATTTAATAATGATACAAAGGGGGTTTGTTTCATACAGAAACCTATTAACTTTCCAACAAAAGCTAATTCCCTGTTAATACTGATAACTCTACGTTTCTCTATCACATATTAAAAATTATGTAGTGAAAATTTAAGATCGAAATTCGACTTATAACTGTCTGACAGCGTATTTAATGAAGACTTAAAACTTAACATTTACAAAATTACATTACGAAACTCAGCAAGAATACTGAGGAGGGTGCTGGAGTATTGATGAGATTTGCTATTGCTTAATATCCAGTGAATACAAACATGCTATCGTTAAGAGAAGAATAATAGGATCTAGAACATGAATTCAGTGATAACTATGTTTATGTTTATAAAAAGAAAAGATAATACCCTGGATCAAGGTCTAAAACTATCGAGCCAACCTCCTGAAAAATTGTGTTGACCCCCATATGCAAATTCCGTGAGGAATATCCAGAAACAATTGACCATCTTGTATCAGATTTTACGGTGTTAATATCCACCGAATATAAAACACAGTATCTCAGGAAGGGCCACTGGAAAATCTGCAACTCTCTAGGGAAGGAAACTTGTTATGGACTTCAACACTTTTGGTGAGATTTTATATGCTCCATTTGACCCACAAACAATTTTTTGTGTTAACCCAAAGAAAAATCGTGCCGTCGAAGGAAAGAAGCTCATCAAAACAGTTGCCAAGAAAATAACTGAATTATAGATAGGGAGAGGTCACGTCACATTTTGCTGAAAAAGTCGAGATGCCAGGTCAGGGTCGACCACGTTATAGACACTTCTTTGAATTTTGTCAAAAATCCGGAGATATATTATTGGAGCAATAAATCAAATATGGCAACAGTATTCAATGCATGGACCAATAATAAGTATATAAGGATTTTGAGGAGAAAAAGTTTCTGCCACGACACAATGAACCAAATTTCCTCGAAGTAGACCTAGCAACTAATTCAATATAGTCAGGGGAAAAAGTGAGGCGAAGAAGGTGAAGATGATTGCTCTCCTGTAGGTTAGCATCAGCCAATGTTGATGGCAAGCAGAAAAGACTCTCTGAGGTGAATAAATGAAAACAGTTTTGTTTTGGAGGTGTTAAAATTTGCAAGCCATTTCTTGCACCAGCTAACCATTGATTCGATGTCCTTTTCGAGAACAGTTGCCAGGTTTACTTTGTCGGATCTGACGGCCTAGCTACTAAGTGAGGAATAAGTAGTTGCGTATATTATTATTTATATAATACTACTTATGTCCCATAATAATTGTTCCATTTTCCTACATATTTCCTACATGAATTGTACCAACATTTATGGGACAGAGGTAGTCTATTATTATTTATATAATACTACTTCTGTCCCATAATAATTATTCCATTTCCCTACACATTTCCTGCATGAAATGTACCAACATTTATGGGACAGAGGTAGTCTATTATTATCTATATAATACTACTTCTGTCCCATAATAATTATTCCATTTTCCTACATATTTCCTACATGAATTGTACCAACATTTATGGGACAGAGGTAGTCTATTATTATTTATATAATACTGCTTCTGTCCCATAATAATTAATCCATTTCCCTACACATTTCCTGCATGAAATGTACCAACATTTATGGGACAGAGGTAGTATATTATTATTTATATAATAATACTTCTGTCCCATATTAATTAATCCATTTCCCTACACATTTCCTACACGGAATGTACCACTTTTTATGGAACAGAGGTAGTATATTATTCTTTACATAATACTGCTTCTGTCCCATAATAATTATTCCATTTTCCTACACATTTCCTACATGAAATGTACCAACATTTATGGGACAGAGGTAGTATATTATTATTTATATAATACTGCTTCGGTCCATAATAATTGTTCCATTTGCTTACACATTTCATCCATGGTATTCGCATCATGTGATCATGTGTACACTTATTTAGAAATTCCATCCTCTTACCTAACCTTGAACACCGGGGCATATAATGGTTAGCCATCTCATTTCGCTGGAACAATTACGACTGAATGAGTTTGATCCTCACTGGGTGTCCCAAACATTCGACCTTGTGCCACATCTAAACTACCCTAAGTAATTCATATGAGCACTTCGACGTGGCGTAATGGTTATCAACTGAATTGTGAGTTCGATTCTCACTGGGCGGCCCATAGTTTTGGTCTCGTGTCTGAACTAAGTTAAACACAGAAAATCATATGGAATACTTCAACGTGGTGTAATGGTTAACAAGCTTGTCTCGCGAGAACTATCACGACTGAACTGTTAGATCGATTCACACTAGGTGTACTCCAACCTTTCAACCTTGTGCCATATCTCAGCTACGCTTAGAAAATCAGCATAAGCGGCGTCATTGAAAATCATCCTAAGCGGCTTCTCGGACACATACCTCCTGAAACGCCTCTATTCGAAGGCCTCGGGGAATCTGAAAGCATCGATTATGTCTTGTCGATTTATGATCTATCTATCTTTTTACGTCAATGCGTTGGTTGCACTTACATGTGTGCTCTGTAAGCAATATCTCCATTTTAAAAGTTGACTAAAGGGAGAACGTGGAAGTAATATTTCAAATATTAATTGCTTGTCAGCGATATTTCCTTCCTGGAAATGTGGGAATGTTGAGAATCAGAGCTCCGAGATGTGTGATTACATGTATATCCTAAAATGATGCCGAAGACGGAGTGGAAGAGCTTTTCTTAATCATAAAAGCTATTAAGCCACCGGCCAATAATCTACAGTTCGGCTTCATAATCTATACAGCGATCAGTTCACAGCGCTGTCTTTGATCATTTCCTATCTGTATACTTGAGGATCTATCTATCTAGTTAGCTAGCTAGATAGCTATCTATCTCACTCTGTTCATATTTATCTCATTCTTTTCCTATCTATCTATCTATCTATCTATCTATCTATCTATCTATCTCAGTGTGTTCATATTTATCTCATTCTGTTCCTATCTATATATATATATATATATATCTATATATCTCAGTGTGTTCATATTTAACTTATTCTGTTCCCATCTATCTATCTATCTATCTATCTATCTATCTATCTATCTATCTATCTATCTGTGTTCATATTTAACTCATTCTGTTCCTATCTATCTATCTATCTATCTATCTATCTATATATATATATATATATATATATATATATATATATATATATACGCACACACACATCTATATACATATTTCTGTCTGTTCTTATGTATCTGTCTATCTAGCTAGCTGTCTGTCTGTCAAAGTCTACTCATATTTATGTATATACCTATCTCAGTGTGTTTATCTCCATCTATCTATCTATTCAGTCTGTTCATATCTATCTATCAATCTATCTATCTATCGGTCTGTTTTTATCTATCTATCTATCTAGCTAGCTAGCTGACTGTCAAAGTCTATTCATATCTATGTATGTCTCAGTGTGTTTATATCTATCTATCTATCTATCTATCTATCTATCTATCTATCAGTGTTCATATCTATCTATCTATCTATCTATCTCAGTCTGCTCATATGTATGCATGTATGTATGTATTTATCTATTTCAGTCTTTTCATATCTATTTATCTATCAATCTATTTATGTCAGTCTATTCATATCTATCTATATCTATCTGTATCTATATATCTCAGTCTATTCATATCTATCTCCGTGTTTTCATCTCTTTCACTCACTCTATCTATCTATCTATCTATCTATCTATCAATCTATCTATCTGTGTTCATATCTATCTATCTATCTATCTATCGATCTATCTATCTCAGTCTGTTCATGTGTGTTTATGTATGTATGTATGTATGTATGTATGTATGTATGTATGTATGTATGTATCCATCTATTTTAGTCCATTCATATCTATTTATCTCTCCATCTATTTATGTCAGTCTATTCATATCTATCTATATCTATATATCTATATATCTCAGTCTATTCATATCTATCTATTTATCTATCTATCTATCTATCTCAGTCTGTTCAAGCCTCTTTATCTCAAAAGGGAACAGAACATCAATACAGACTTTGTACTGCGCCATTGTCTTTCTAGGAGACATCTATTGTACTCATGAGTATGATATAACTCACTAAATATCTTTAATTCTAGAGCCAATCGTCTAATTTGATGATCATTTTCGCATTCATCATACCAAAATACATGAGGTTTGGCACATTTTATGTCTGAACTAGTCAACTTATGAAAAAACTGGACACAATTGCTATGAAGACGTGACTTTCAAGCTACGTAAGGCTCCATACATTAATTTCACCTCTTCTTATTACTGACTGTATTTTTTTTCCAGGTAAACTTATATCTTACCGTTCAATGGAGACTGCAAATGTAACTATTATCGACTACTCTTGGACAAATTTGGCATCGTGATGTTATCAAATACTTGCAGAAAAGGCTTTTGACTCCAAAGACATTCATGCTGACATGGTTGCTACATTAGGGTATGACACTCCAGCTTTATCAAAAGTGCATCAGAATCTAATAGCAGAAGGGAGATTCTTGAAGTTGACTCAAGGTGTTGACGTCCTGCAGCTTACATGGCCGAGGAAAACTATTGATCGTGATCATCACATGCTGATGGATGACGGGCGATTGACTATAAATCGAATAGCGAAATCTATTAGCATATCCCGTGAGATAGTTGAGAATGTTCCTCATTTAATTTGGCTTGGCGAAGGTTTCTGCTCAGTGAGTGTCACGTCTTCTGACACTTGGTCAAAGGCAGACCAGGCTGATTACATCACCGGTAAATATGACATTGTTAGAAATAGTTCCAACTGGTTTCTCTCTCAGACATTGTCTGCTCCCCCCAAAAAAATAAGAAAAAGAGCCGACAGAATACTCCTTTCTTGCTTCCACATCTACTTTTAAACTCTCTCTTATGCCTGTTTTTTCTTTATCTAATTCCACTCACTCTATCTCTCTCACACGCACACTGTCTCTCTCTCTCTCTCTTGTATTATATTTCTCCTTTCAGTTCTAGATTCATTTACTCTCTCTCTCAGCATGTGATGATCACGATCAATAGTTTTCCTCGGCCATGTACGCTGCAGGACGTCAACACCTTGGGTCAACTTCAAGAATCTCCCTTCTGCTATTAGATTCTGATGCACTTTTGATAAAGCTGGAGTGTCATACCCTAATGTAGCAACCATGTCAGCATGAATGTCTTTGGAGTCAAAAGCCTTTTCTGCAAGTATTTGATAACATCACGATGCCAAATTTGTCCAAGAGTAGTCGATAATAGTTACATTTGCAGTCTCCATTCCTTTTCTTTCTACTCCCCTCTCTCTCTCTCTCTCTCTCTCTCTCTCTCTCTTGTATTGTATGTCTCTTTTCCGTTCTAGATTCTTCATCTCGTATTTTTTGTCAATCTTTCTTTCATACGATTCATTTCCTTCGCCTTTCTCTTTCATCATATTTCTCCCTCCCTCTAAAACTTACTACGCTATCGTCTTTCTCATTTTCTTCCCGCTTTCTCTTTATCTCTCTCTCTTCTTCCTTTTCTTTCTACTCTCTCTCTCTCTCTCTCTCGTCTTCCTTTTCTTTGTACTCCCCCCTCTCTCTCTCTCTCATATTGTATCTCGCCTTTCTGTTCAAAATTCTTCATCTCAATTTTTTTGTCTTTCTTTCACACGATTCATTTCTTCCGTCTTTCTCTCTCTTCATACTTCCCCCTCCCTATAAATGTTTCTACCTGTCTTTCCCATTTCCTTCCCCCCTCTCTCTCTCTCTTATTACTTTTCTTTCTACTCACCGTTTCTCTCTCTTTCTCTCTCTCTCGCTTTTACAAGAGCCCTTCCTTTTTTCCCTGTCTTATGTTTCAATTTTACTTCAAGTACGCATGCGTAGAATACATCGCAACAGATTAGCAAATCAGTTAATCTCCTAAGGCTTTTAATCGTGCCAACTGTCGACTCGTGATGACTGAGCCTGGTCAAATGTCTGTCTTTCTGACTCAAGAGAAAAATGACCGTTATTCTTTCTCCTCGGGCTGTTCATAAATCTTTCCCTTGTCTCTCGTCTCTCCTCTCCCCGAACGTCGCTTTATATACGCCACCTCCCCAGCGATCCCACCTTTGTTTCGTTATTTCTGCCCTTTTCTCTTGCTTCGTTCACTACTGTGGCTTCTGGTGTTGACATTGATGATAAACATCTGGCTTATTAAAATGATGACGTCAGAGCATATTTGCCAGTACTGACCATAGGTTGCGGTGCTGAAATTAAAGACTGAGAGGACTTGTTCACTATCGGCGATTGGCGCCGAAAACTTTTCATACTAAGCATAATATTAAACGTTATATGCACTACATCGGCTGAGACACCTCGAGGCGGTGTAATGGTTAACAAGCTTGTCTCGCTAGAATAATTACGACTGAGTAGTGAGTTCGATTCTCACTGTGTGGCCCGTACTTTCGGCATTGTGTCACATCTAAGCTACGCTTGAAAAATCACTACATCGGCTGTATGATGGAGTAATGGATTGCAGTATGGATTGAGTAGAGTTCGATTTCTAGTCGAAGTCAAAAACAGCGCTCAAAATAACTGTAAAAGTGTTGAACTGCATTTTTATAGTGAAGGTTCCAGCAATACAATTGCATGGTAAAAAAAAAAAGACCAGCAATAGGTGTTTTGTAAAAGAAAAGAAAAATATTACCTGGAATACATTTTTTCTAAAGAAAAAAAAATATTTCCAGAAATATATTTTTTAAAAAATAAAAAAATAGTTATTCTTCCATTCGACATTAAATGACCCATAAGGTGATATGCCTTTAAACAGACAAAGCGATGTTGTCGAACGACGAACGTCGGGGTCACCAATCTTGTGGCGACGGTGCTACCATTATTGTAATGGTGGTGTTACCAATATTTAACTTTGGCTAGGAAAGGTGGGATTAAGGACAATGCGTGGACGCAATGCAATTTATATTTGACGTAAATAGCACATAGTATAAAATACAAAACTGAACGGAATGATTTCAAAACATAATATTTGATATACATGCATGCGAGCTGAAAAGGTAGGACAGAGTCGTGTCCCTTTGATTATGTAATAGTTGTACCTGAGTTCATACTAAGAGGAAGTAATATTAAACTGTAGTTTAAAAGAATAAAGTTTCTTTAGCGTGTTTGGAATTATGAGTTGCAAAGTTGGTAAAAGTTCAGACGAGATTTCAGAGTTTGTACTTGCGTGAATGTTGGTAATTGTCTTTAACGTCTGACCGCAATGGCTAAGACGGGAGTTCTTGAAGATTACATCTTGGTACTAGGTATGAGAAGATACTACTCAGAGAGTTTACACGTAGTCTGTTTATATAATGGTCGTGTACCACCGGGAGGCTCCTAGCATTTGAGCGGGAAAACAGATTGGTCGCGTGTAGGCGTTTTGATTGGTCGGAACTGACCAATCAGCAAGCTAGATTAAAGGTGATTGACCAATGAATACTTGTTATATATTTTTAAGATTGCGATGGTAAAAATTGTAACAAGAATTGTGCATTTGCTAGCAGGGGTTAACTAGCTTGTTGGGGAAGAGTCCACACGGTCAATCTCAATCAAAAGAGATAAACACACTCCAAAACAGATAAAATATAGACGAAAACTTTAATTTTACCGTAACTGTATGGAGGGGGGAGTTGTTTGCGTAAGTGGGAGATGGTGAGAAAGGGGAGAGATATTATTATTTAGAAGGAGAATCCTCCCTCTCCCATGCAAACATCAGATGACTGTCTTTCTGGGGGTTTCTTTTCTTTCTCACTGTCTGTCTCTTAGCATGACTTGACGCTCCTCACGATTCACTGGACCTCTGTCTCACTAAAAATATCTCTCCGATGAGACATGTTTTTTTTTTTTTTGTCTACGCTTTGACATGTTTCTAAAATGAGACATAGCATTGAAAATGTTTATACTTCGACTCGTTGCTGCATAAATTTCGCGAATCAAAGAACATGAAACATCGTCCTTTCCTACCTCTTCCACAGAAAGGCATTTCCCCGACAATCGCCCACGTTGTCGGCGGTTTCTGTGTCCGTCTCTCGGGACATGGTTCGTCACATGAGACTTTTTTTTTTGTTCCGAACATTCGTACGTGAACCGATTTGTTGGCGACGAGAGGCGTTCGCAACCCGAGGTTCCACTGTATACAGAAGTAAAAACAACAATTATTATTATTATTATTATCCTCCCCCTCCTCCTCCCCCTCTTTCTTCTTCTTCTTCTTCTTCTTTGTTCCCGTGTCTCTTTAAGACTTAAGCCCTTCGTAGCTCTCCATATATTGCTCTCCTTTGTAGCACTTACAAAGGTTTGTCCTCTCATCATCACTGCAACTCCCTGTTCTGTCATCCATTTACAGAAGACTGCAAGGTATTTTACACGCTGCTACTGTCCGTCAAATTTTCGAAGCCCTCTTTTCTCATTATATTCATTAATTTTACATCCTTATATAGGAGGACTTTGCATATGCATGCATATATATATATATATATATATATATATATATATATATATATATATCCGCAGCATGGCCCAGCGTTGCCCGTGCTTGATTCAAAAATCGTACGATTCATACAGCAATCGCTATCACTTGACTTAAAATATTTTTGCCCTTCCTTGCCTTTTAAAGGAGTGCCCTTTGCCGTGCTGATGTTGCTACATGCCTTACTTTGTTGCCTATCTCACACTGCGAATTTTTTTAAGCTCTATACTAAACATTAAATCTGTTACGAAAAAGAACTAAACAAAATGAACACAAAACGATCAGCTTAAAAAAAGGACTCGTAACTGGAAAACCGAATAAAAAAAAGAATGTTAACAACAAATACTTTTTCACACTAACCCAGTTCTGCGGAATCAGAATCAACGTTGAGTTTAAGCAAAGCGAATGAGCCAATTGGAGTAAAGTGTCATGCAGATTTAAATTTTTCCCACTTTTGTGACGAATGCAGCTATCGATTTCTTTTTGCATACTAGCATGCTAGTTAACATTCGTGCCAGTCAGCTGTTGGCTCTCTTCCTGTCTATTCTGGCCAATACAAAATGGCCGCAAACTACATGAAAACTGCCGTAGAAGCATGAAAAACTGGATTATTTCCACTATCGATGGTAGTTGTTAAATGCAAAGTCGGTCTTGTCTTTTCCACTAACTAGGAGAATGGGCATGCAAATTTTGGTGCAAATCCGTCGAAAATTGCGGCCGTGCATTCGTTACACATACACACACACACACACACACACACATCCTCCCTATATATATATATATATATATATATATATATATATATATATATATATAACCTCATATTGGGGAGTATAGATCTATTTTACCCAACGAGAAGTAATTTAATGTTATTCAACCCCAGTTTATAGACTGTGTTCGTATCGGAATTAGAAATTTAAAATTTATCTATATATATATATATATATATATATATATATATATATATTTTCAGAAATATAATTTTAAAGTTGGGCGATATTTATTAGATAAAATGCTGAGTATCAGAGATAGGGCGTATGTAAAAATAAATATAAAAGTGAACACTGAAGTCAACACTCAGAGGCGACAGGCTGTTTCATGCTAGACGCAGCCTGACGATTGCGTCTTGCATGAAACAGCCTGTCGCCTCTGAGTGTTGATATAATTAAAAGCATTAGTTCCATTTCATCTTCAAGCGAATATTGAATAACTTATTTTTAAATTTACTGATTTTTAAACGCACATATAAATTCATAATTTCCTGTTTCCAAGGATACAGAGAAATCCAGTCATTCAGACAGGGGCGGTAGTGTGTTCATTTTTATTAACTATTGTATCAATTATGAGTTACCTTCGAAAAAGAGGTTAAGTTTAGGGAGGGTAGGGGTGTATTTTTCAACGTATTCTGACATCCGTTAACTGCATGTCGTCTGGGTATTCGCTTGAAGATGAAACGGAACTAATGCTTTTATTTTAAATTAAATTTGGAGTTTTTAGCTTCAGTTTTTCAAAAATGGTTATTACTGTGTAGCTAAAAAAACATATTTTAAATCAGTTAATTTATAATATTTATGCTCTGTAAATTTACATTGAGCAATGTTTATATTTATCTTACTGTTCTTTCTTGATATATATATATATATATTATTTATATATATAGATAGATAGATAGATAGATAGATAGATGTAGAGAGCCAGACAAACCTACCAAGGTTTCACCTAAGCGGATTGTCAGGGAAGGCCTGCTAACAAGGTAAAAAAATTTATTTAGTTGTTTTGGGTACTCGCATCGGGTTTTTTTTCTTTGGGCCTTGAACTCGTATGCTGGACGATTATTTTGGGTTAACGTACATGTTCTTGGTTCTTTCTTTTTGTTGTGTATGATACACCTAATTTACATAAGTGGAGTACCGACCATATAAATATGGGTTGGTACCGGAAGACGGGAGATAGTGGGTTAGAAGAAGACATCGAATCGAGAGACTCTGCCCGACTGCGATTTAGTCAACCCATTATGCAGGAACAGTCTTCCCAAGAATATACCAAAAACTAACTGTAAATATTGTGTACCTTTTCCTCGTTTCAATACATTTTGTTAACGTACATTTTGTGTTGTATTATTATTATTCCATGCTTATCCAAGTTTCAACACTTTTTTAATACCTTTTTTCCATTTGGTATTGGCTTGTTTTATTTGCAAATCAATGCACCGAAGGTTTTCCGAGTGAGTATAGTTCCTTATACTTATAGGATTTCTATTAATAATAGATAGATAGACAGACAGACAGACAGATATAATCAAGAAAAAAACCTTAAAGATTCATTTCGGTTATAATTTATTTTGTGAATATCTATATATTCATCTCTTCAGGCCGAAATCTCTTAGTAAATGGAGACGATACCTGGATTGATTTTTAGATTGACAGGGGACAGGAAAAGCAGAAGAGAAGAGGGAGATGGGTGGAAGAAGAAAAGTACCATATATATATATATATATATATATATATATATATATATATATATATATATATATATATTACTTAAATCGTATTAAAAACCCTGTGACGTTACGCCAGGATAGAAAATTAGAAGGTTAGAGATGGTGAAAATCTTCTTGAATAAGCTGGAAAATGATCCTAATTCGGATGAGTTCCACCACGGAATA